TTACTGTTTACTGTACTCTTTTTTTTATTATTTTTTATTATTTTTATTATTTTCAGGAAGCAAAACACAGATGGAGAAAACCACTGTGAGTTTGAACACTCAATAGTCCTCTCTAACTTTATAGAGCAAAATCTCTTTGTGGTATCTGTTCCTGTTTGACACGGTTGATATACAAAGATAGAACATAATGAAAGATAAGAATATACTGTGCTGACCATGTTCAACTGAAACTTAACTGTAATCATAAGGAATCTAAAAAACAATCACAAGAGTGAAAACATCAGACGAATGAGCAAAATAATATCACAAAGTATGAATATCTTTCTCGGTCTTGTGGGGGTGACCCAGTGTTTTGTGTTTTGAATCGTTAATAGTCTTTGTTTTCATTATTATTTAGAATAATAATGATCTTCCTGTGATCCATGTGTTCTTTGTCTCCCCTGTCAGTCATGTCTCCTTGTCTCAGTGTAAAGTCTGTGTCTTCTTGTTTGACTTTGACAGTCTTGTGTGCCGTGTTAGTTTTTTCCATTTTTCTTCTTCCGGGTCTTGTTGCGTGTGGTTTCTCCAGCTGTGTTTTCCTCCTGTGTCTCATTCCTTCGTTACCTTTGTGTTCCTCTGTTTGTTGCTGGGTCGTCTGTGTTTCTCCTTCTGCTATTTCTGTTTTCATTGGCCCTCGCCTCAGATTTTCATGTTTCATATTCAGGCTTTTGTCTCAGGTTTAGATTCTTTATATTTATTTCTAGTTTTTCCCAGTTCAGGTTTTAGTTAGTTTTTCACAGTCTCTGATCGCCTTTTGTTTTGGTGTTTTTTGCAGCCCACAACAAAGGCTCGCTTTTTGTTAAACATTCTCCTGCATCTCTGTGTCTGCATTTGGGTCCATATTCTCTCCTCTTCAGGCCGTCTGCCTCATCAGACGTGATAATATCTGAGAGAATCTAAAGTGTGTTGTGTTGTTTTCCACAGGAGCACAATGATGAGGGTGAAGATGGAGTGAACTATGAAAATATTGGAGACTCTTCTGCTTCTGTCAGACTCCACTGATCAACAACTCAAACATCATCTCATCACATAAATTAACCCATTGCTGTTGAAAACACTGTGTGTCTGTGTGACTGGGTCTTTGTCTGAGACTTTCTGAGCCTTGACCACTGTGGGACATGGTTATAGAAGGTGAGGGTTGCTCCTCCCTTCCACTCCCTTCTGGTCATTGCCCATGAGAACAGTCCTGAGCTCATGCTTGGATGGTTCTCACTCTTAAACGTTCACCATGGGAGCTCTTTCTAGGCCTCCCTTGTCATTTGTTTCTCCTTCTACTTGTGTCAGCACACGGTTGTCATCTGGATATGTGGGCTTGGGTCTGCAGTACTCTTGGGGTGGAGGGCCCAACTAAACTGTGTGTTTCTCTTTCACACACACACACACATGCAAGATTGTGCATTTTTCTGAGGTGCTGTTTGTTTTTCGTATGTTTTTCTTACAGGTGCAACAGGTGGTGATCTGTTGAGTTGAACTATGTGTGCTGTGTCCTTTTGATTTGGTCTTCTCTAAATTTTTCTCTGTTTTTCTTTTTTCCCTTTCTCCTCTCTACCCATTCTTACCTCTCTCTACCTGTCAGCTCTGGTATTGATCAATTACACATAAGTTAATGTGAATAACAATGAAAATGAATAAATCAAGTAGAATAAAAAGAAAGACTAAGATAAGAAACCTATACAAAATTCATATAGCTCCTCTTGGCAAAGCAAATGTGTTGGTACAACAGAGCATTCAGATCATGTTTCTGTTTGTGAATGCTGTCGGACAAGACAGGTTTAAAAAAAGGAAACAAAAATTACATTTTGATTTTATCTCATATTTAGCTAAAAACTTTTTCATGTACATTTAGATTTATCTAACAAGTAAAATACCATACAACGATTATTTATCCTTTATTTAATTATGATAAATGGAATCTTTTATTTGTTTAAATTTGCTGTTGATGATTTTTATTAAAGGTTACCCACTGAGTTAAAAATGGCAGCTTATTTATTGCTGTTTAAATTTTGTGTTATTTATTTGATTGTTAGTCTTCATACTTTATTTTTATTCCTGAGGTTAGTTTTAATGAGATTTACAAACAGGAACAGATCTAATGATCCAAATTATAACTTCAGTTTCTAACTATTGCTTTTTTTGCTGCACAATAATAAGAATAAATGTAAATATGTTTGTGGACAACTTTGTGTGTTTTTAAACTCTCTCCATCTCACACCTCACACACACCTGATCCACCCACCACAGACCACAGTACAATCTACCGTCTATTATTGTCTCCAGTTTGACTTCCTGTTCTTTCATATTCAGTATTAAACTTTTACTCTGCTGGTTCAAACAGCTCTGTTTGTTGTACTGAACTTGTATAATAACATTTCCAAACATGTGCAAACATCTGCTTTCATTGTTAATATTATTCTCTGAATTATACTTACACAACATTAAAAAAAAAAAAATAAATAAGGACCTGCTGTGTGTTGAAACTGCTGTGAATCCTAAAAACAGTTTAGTTTCCTGTTCATCGATGTGTTAACCATTTATCTGTCAGAGGTTCATCTGGTCATCATGAAACCTCCAGAGCTCTGCTGCTGTTGTACCCACATTCTCACCAAAACACTTCCCCTTCACTTCTCAGAATGAATGACTTCAGAGGTTCAAAGAGGAACAAACAGGTCTCAGACCACTAACACATCTGATCTGTGTTCTTATCAAGCTGCTAACAGCGCTCACTGTGGCAGTGTTAGCATGTTTCATTGCAATCATTAAGACTCAGATTCTAGTGTAAAAAATAATTTGAGTCTTCACCCTATTTCATGTGTGCAGACAAACATCATCATAAACCTATTTTCTAATAAGAAACACAATGTACAGAAGAGCTGCATTAATGTAAACACTTACCTCATCTAACAGTCTTCACACATTTAACTTCCTGTATTCTTTTATTGATCAAGATATTTTCCACTGTTGAACAGTCCTTTAAAGGAAAAACAGGGGAGTTTGCGAAAGAGATTAAGTATAAAAGTTATTAAATGTTAAAAAGGATTTAGCAAATTTGATATCTACATTAAGACAGATGGTCAGATACAGATGAGTTCAGATCTGTATCATACAGATTCAGTAAGAGGAGAGTAAAGGAGTGATGTCACTATGAGGAAGTGAGCAGGAAGTTGATGCTGTGTTCATCTCTGAGAGCAAGAACAGAGACAGAGAGAGACCGAGAAGCACGATGGCTGTATTCACATGGATTCAAATGTCTTCATTACTGATACTGATGCTTCAGTTTAAAGGTAAGTGTACATAGAAACACATTCAGTTAATAAACTGCATTATTATCACAAGTGTTACTTCTTTATTCTTCCTTTAACTGACACAGTCATGATTAACTTTTTGACTTGAGCTGATTCTTGGAAACTAAAGTTGAAACTTGTTTTGTGTTTAAAATAAACTTCACGTTATAAACATAACACTCATATTCATAACATATTTGATGTTTCACATTTTTCTCTCTTTTTCTCAACAGGAACAACTGAGCAACAACAAACTGTCACAGCTGTACGTGGACATGATGTTACTCTGCCTTGTAAAAATGTGATTCAAGATCAGTATAACTGTAGCAGTACTGTCTGGCTGTTTATTCATTCAAGCAGCTCAGTATCACTCTTTGAACTTGGGCAGAATAAAGAAGTCAAACCTGAATCAGACAGACTGAGTCTTTCTGCAGACTGTTCACTGGTTATAAAGAAGGTCACAGATCAGGATGTTGGTCGTTACAACTGCAGACAGTACAAAACAGCAACAGGATCACAAGAAGGTTCGGACTTTATGATTCATCTGTCTGTTATTAACAGTGAGTATTAATATATCAATTAATAAACTGCATTATTATCACAAGTGTTACTTCATTATTCTTCCTTTAACTGAGACAGTCATGATTAACTTTTAGACTTTATTTGACTCTTGGAAACTAAAGTTTAATTTTAAACTTGTGTTGTATTTAAAATAAACTTCACATTATTAACACAACACTCATATTCATAACATATTTGATGTTTTACATTTCTCTCTCTCTTTTTCTCATCAGGAACAACTGAGCAACATCAAACTGGTCAAACTGTCACAGCTGAACGTGGACACGATGTTACTCTGCCTTGTAACACCTCGTTACAAGGTCAGCAGAACTGTAACAGTACTGTCTGGATCTTCAGTGATTCAAACAGCTCAGTATCACTCTTTGAGTTTGGGCAGAATAAAGAAGTCAAACGTAAATCAGACAGACTGAGTCTTTCTGCAGACTGTTCTCTGGTTATAAAGAAGGTCACAGATCAGGATGTTGGTCGTTACACCTGCAGACAGTTCAAAACAGCAACAGGATCACAAGAAGGTCCAGACTTTACGATTCATCTGTCTGTTATTAACAGTGAGTATTTACATCTTAATGTTTTCAGCTCAAACTGTCCTGTTAGAACAACAAACTGAAACACCTCAATAATTATGATCACAGTGATGAAGTTCATTTTTCTATTGTTGCTTTTCTCTTACAATATCTCCATCTTCACCAGTGTGTGTACATGAGAACAATGATAAAGCATCTTGAACAGCTCTGTGTTGACATATGAACACTGTAGACTCACAGTT